TGCACAACTGATTTAAAGTTTTAAAAGACAAGACTGGATCTTCAGACTACAACCCTATTCAGTTTCGGGTTGAGCTAATAAAATAATTTTGATCATTATTCTGTTGAATTTATGGTTTTCAACATGAATCTACAGGGAATAAAGCCCATCCATGCTTCAAAGTACAAGGCCTCATTTCCTTTTGCTTACATGCAACTGATCTGCATTGGAAGTTTCATATAATTTGCTTTCTACTAACTTCCCTATATTCTTTCCTTTTCAATTATACCCCTATCAGTGAAACTTTGTTTTCTTTTAATTTTCTTTCAATACAAAACTTTTATAAAAGAGAGGCACTAAAGTGGTGCTAAAAGCAGCAGCAAGAAAGAGATGGAGGAATTACAATGAGATACTAAGAAGAGTATTTTAGGGACTCATTAGAACTAAGCCACTCCACGAAAAGCTTCACCTTCTTTTGGGAAAAATGTTTTCATCCTTATCAGGTACATCTAGGAACCTTTAGAGCTCACAGTACACTTAACAGCACTGAGGCTCTACTTTGTTTCCACACTATACCAAGGATGATGCCAAAGCACTAACTGTTCTTGCTACTCTAGAGGAGCATGATAAGGAAGAAATACAAGAGTCTTGCTGTGTACGATCTGACTAGCCTGCAAAACATAGGTTAAAATGTCATGTCAAGGTAAAAAATCCTGTTAAGAATGTTAATCAGCCAGAGATCCCTGCCTTGAAAAGAGAGCAGATTTTTGGGCTAGCTCCAAGGGGATTGTTTGCATTTAACAGAATTGCTGACATCTGTAATCCACGTTGTGTAGGTAATGCTTGCTTCTCCTGGTGATGCAATTTTATCTATTGATACAACAAAGATACAAGGAGAACACTACATATGCCGAAACATGCATTTGTACCATTTTTTTATTTTATTTTTTTTAAAGAAAGTTGACTTGTCTGCTGCATATTGAATTTTCTTCCTTCTCTGCTTGTATTCCAACTTGATAACACACGTAGAATTAGACAGAGAGCTCAAGATCAGAGAAATCAACACTTACTATCCTTTATATTAGAAGTTTTACTGATTACTGCCTAAACAAGAAAGCCCGTCCACAGTTGTAGTGCTGCTATGACTATAGCAGCTATTAAATTGGCAGCCAACACAGTGCCACTTCCTCTCCCCGAACGTTTTGGCAGAACAATTGCCACAATACACTCTGGGATATACAGCAGCCAGTCATGCTGCTCCTGAATCAGTTGAGGATTGTGCCTGTACCCTTCTAATTGCTCCTTTGCCACTGAACTGTCAAGATGCCCTCAGACAGAAGTGAGAACGGTGCTAGAAAACTTAACATACAGACTGTATGGGACATTGGTGATGACTATTTAAAATCCTTGTTGCAAAAGCAGTTTAAACGAGCGAACAAGTTTTGCTTGCCTTTATTTTTTTTAAATGACCTTTATATTTCTGAGGTTCTTAGCTGTCTCCTTGATACTTATTTCAAGAGAGCTTTTCAGACACGTTACTGTTGAAGTACAGGCTTTAGATAACTCAAAAAAAAAAATCATATCTTTACTGTACTTAGCCTAAACGTTACTCAGAAGTGATTCCCACAACAAATACACCAAGACGATGCATTTTGAGGTAGCTTGTTTAACATGAACCAAGTGCTATAGCACTGAGTCAAGACACACACAAAGTAAAGGAACAAGTGCTGAGTGGGACTATATAAAAGAGTAGGCAGCTTCTGAAGTGTATATTAAGTGAAAACCGAACAGAAAGTCTAGGGCTACAGATGACACAGGAGAACTATCAAAACTTCCTTACCTGGGCTTTAACATTACCGTCAGAGAAACAAACTACATTTTAAAAAATTCAAGTAAACAAAAAAATACCCTTTTCTATCTCATCCACAGGCAAGCAAGATCCAAAGGAAGTGTTAACAGAGGTGAAAGAATTTTTACATGAAGATAACTGTGACAAGGAAATGAGGAGAGTTAAAATGTGTCAAGAGAAAAAGATCACCACCCTGCAGTGTAAACAGGCCTACAGTACCTCTAATTAATGTGAACAAAGAAGTCACTTCTCAGCCACAACAAAACTATATAGACACATCATAGAATCAATATGCTATATATTTTCATTTATATACTGATTTGATACACATACATCAATATATAAGTAATGTATGCAATATAGTACACTAAAGTGTTAACTCTATTTTATGTTATAAGACGCAATTCCTTCGAACTCTGCTTAAGGAAAATGGTACAATGTGTTCCAGAAAACCATCCTTGCTTGTGAGACATAGATTACCAGAAAAATACCAAGCACTAATTTTGGTTTTCAACATTATTGCCTGTTACCTCCCAGTCTGACACAATACAACAGACAAGAACAGAGGTAGCTTCTCAGACTAGACATGTGGCAAAGGAGAGCCTGGATTTAAAAGGTGATGTTTTATCTCAAAAGTGATGAACATCCTGGCCATATGCAAGTAGAAGTGAAAAGAAACAACAATGAGGTTGGACTCTGGACTGCACTGAAATGCCATTCGACCACCAAAGAAGTAAAACCAGAGAAGGACAAATACACACTTATTACAAACAGTGAGGTTACATGCAGTAAGTATAAAAGAAAGCACATAAATGTATATATTTAACAAATGTACTTTCCAAAGTAAGAATTCCAGAAATTTAAATAAGTTGCAACTGTAAGAGAAGCATTTACATACTCGTTACAGGCACAGACCAATTATGAGTTAACAAGTTAATGAGTTAACAAGTCCCCATTAATGAATTTGGAAACTAGGCCCTTCAGTGCTTTATTGGAGTATCCGAAGCATGACGAACTCTGGAAAACAGATTTGTTCACATGGAAAAAAACAAACAAGAGTCCAAAGTTATTTACAGAGTGAACACAGTCTTGATGCTCTTAAAACAAACAAAAAAAACTCCACTGTCTAACAATAAACACCATTATAAAATACCACCAGTGTTCTTAACACAAAAGTCTGGGAACCTCTGTGTTTTCTACCTGGCTGACTTAATTTTTAAGAGCTTAATATTTTATCAGCTTGTCTAAATGCACACAAGCTCCTTACACTTATATTATACTATAAATCTAGATTAGGGAGCTAATGTAGATGGTTTATATGTAGCTATAGAGGTAAAGCAGCTATTTCTTAAGAACATAGTTTTAGAAAGTTAAATACAAGCAGTAGCATTTTACTCTAGCAAGCAATTTTATCCTGTCAAACAAAAGGTAATAGTTAACATCAACCAGAACAGATAAAGAGAAAATAAGAAAAAATTTCAAAGCCCCAACAGATCACAAAACTATTTATAATATAAAATGAAATAATAGTATCTTTAAAAAAATCATCACATGCTGTGGTCCTCTCCTGTTTAGGTGTCCAAGGCTATAACACTATTGGTTCTACAGTTAACCTCTTCTTCAGACTGACAAGTAACTATGTCAAAAGGGAGAGTGCAGTTTTTAAAAACGAAATAGCAGGTGTTAGTCTGGAAAATGTATTAGTCACTTTCTAAAAACCACCTGTTTATCAGATAGAACCTGGTGGTTCTCCCTATAATCTGTGAGCTTCTTTATTCAAAGGACATGCAAACAACTTTTCCAGCACAGATTTAAGACGGCTCTGGTCATCATGCAGAAACAAAATGCTTGTGGGGATAAGAAATTCAGCTGTAAAGCCTTCCTCTTTCAGAGTTCAGGTTCTACTGTTAGGGAAATCACTGATGCCCCGAGCATTAATGGACTCTGTCTCGTTCCTACAGCACGATCAGCCAGCATGTAACTGCTTCGTCGGTTGCTAGGGAGCAACGAGCTCATTACATGGCATCATCCACACCCTCCACAAGGATGCTGGCACATACTTCCCATCTGGGGAATATCACGGATTGAAGTGCCTGCCAGTCTTCAGTTTCCCAGGGTGGAGTATGCCAATATAGCAGGTGCTAACTTTAGCTCTACCTTTGAGTTTTAGGCTCTAGTCTTCGTGAGCCTGGCCAACACACAAAGAGGTCAGAACAGCCTTCCACTGCTATTGGCATGGATACTCCTTATTTTTAAAGGACAAATTTAAACAAAGATGTTCTTCCTGAAATTTTGGCAGACACATGCTTTTCCGACTAGGGCAATGACTGCCACTATTCTAAAGCCTGTGATAGAGAAGAATTCAGTAAAAAATGGAAAAAGGTTGGGGGGAAAAAAGAAAAAGCTCTTCAGTCATTAAGAGAGCACAAGATTTGGAGACATTTACAGAAGACATACAGAAACCTAGTGATCTCCAAGCTGTATACATTAAATCCCTGGAATCAATGTCAGCCATGAACAACCTGGGTCACTTCAAAGTCTAAACATGCAACCTTAACGTATTTTTTCAGCTGTTTGTCTCATTAGCACTTCACAGATCTGTTCACAATAAGAGGATAAAAAAAAAAACCAAAACTGTCAAGAAATAAAAAAGCCACCCTGCTTCCATATGCCAGGAAATTTATTAACTAACAATCTATCTGCATTACACAGAGATGGTATCTAATGATTTTCATGTACCTGTCATATGTCAAATGCCATCCAGGAATTCTTAGTGCTGGTGAATTAACAAGCACATAAGGGAATACAGCTGTAGATATGCACAGATACCTACACATTCAAATCCTTAGGCAATTTCAAAATGCCTTTTTTTATTATTAGCAATTGCATAAAGAAACATAAAAAGGAATGAGAAGGAAGGCAAATTGGGGTGATTCACTCATCAAACACATGGAACAACGGCTCTATTTGAAGGGGATAGGCAAATGCAAAAATTGCCAACCTTCCCTCTTACCTGAAGTTAAGATTAAATTCTTAAGTATTTAAGAAGACCAAGATACAAAAATGCTCACCACTAATATATGAAATAATGTCATGGACACTCATGTATCAGTTAAATGCATTTTAAAATAACCAATTAGTTGGAAACACAAATACGTACCTAAGTCCTTACCTGTCTCAACAATTTCTCAACAGCTGACATTACCATGAGCCCTCTCCAAACAACCGGGGCGGTCTCTTCTATTAAGAAACCCATAGACATGCTGAAACAACAAAGCAAGAACTTACGCTTTCCAGCACAATACCAAGTACATCCGTAAAGAAGCTTGATTTAAATTAAAACATATGCTCACCATGCGATTCCATAGTTCTTAAGGGGCCTCATTAGATTTTCTAAAACAGAAGCAAATAGGGTTTTTTTGGGGGGGAGGAGTTGGTTTGGGGTTTGTTTTTAGGTTTTTTAAAAGAAATAAGCTTATACATTTTTTTTTCCTTTAAGAGTAGTTTTCTATCTCTGTTAAAAGCATTTGCCTATTTTCCCCCCTCATCCTTTCAATATATGTATACCTTTATCTATTCTATCCAAGAACCTTTTTCTTAGGTTGTTACATTTTACTGATATCATTCATCTTTTGCCAAAATAACAATGCATCCGCCCATAATATAATGTCACTCTGTGCTGCCAAAACCAAGATTTCATCTATTTGTATGAAATCCCCATGCTGGGAGGCACAAACACCCTATTAGGCAGCCTTCTACTTCTGCAGTACTTTGCTAAATGACAAATCATTTATATTCAGAACAAAATCAAAGTCCTATAACAGGATAGGATTTTAATTTTTTTTAACTATGCTAGTCACTAATCTCATTAATCAGAGGACCATTCCCATTAACACACCAGTGTTTTGGAGAATTCTTCTCCTTGTATTAAGTCTGCTTTGGAACTCCAGAGGAGAGAGGTATCAAATAAAGCCATCCCTAAACTACATGTTGTTAAACAGCTTCAGGTAAGAAGTCCTGTATTTCTTCAGACTGGCAGAAGTCTGCAGGACTTCTGAAATCTCTGTAGGAACAAAAAAATGCTTTTTTGAACATTGCGGAAGTAATGTCCACATTCCTATGCTTTCCAGTGTCAAGAGGAAAAAGGAGGGGGAAATACTGTAATTGTTCTGCAGGGAAAGGGGCAAGCAAGCAGAAAGTAAACAAAAAAAAATTAGTGCATTCAAAATAAAACCCTGCAAAAGTCAAAAATTCATCTTTATAGTCTCTGCCGCCTAAATCCATACCTCATCTCAAAATGATGAGTGCACACACACAAGGAACAAAAGTAATTTTATTTGGTCTAGCTGGTTTATTTTAAGAGCATGCACAGGCAAGAATCAGTAGAAAATAGAAAGAATACTTTAAGTAATAAAAATATATTATAATACATATTTTGACAGAAACCGGTGATGCACCCGAAGTAAAATAGACAGTAAAATAAAAACAATTTGAATATAATGCATTGTATTCAAAGCTGAACTCCAAATTCAGACAAAGTAACACCCAAGAGCATGCAAATTAAACAGCTAAACTCTACAGACGAAAGCTTTCAAGCAATCAAGTAAGCAGGCATTCAAGCTATGTCATTTTGTAGAAACATGGCTGAAGATAAATTGGATGCAGTTTTTCCTATCCACAGCATTTTGGTTTACAAATCAAAAAGAACAAAACAGGAAGCTAAACAAATCACTTGCATGACTACTGCGTTCAGGAATGAGTATGGAACTGCTATTGGAAAAGAGATGGGCTCGGCCTGATGCATTGCCTCAGTGTGACACAACTCTTCTCTACTTGCACAGCTCTTTCCAGTGTCTAGTCAGGGTTTATTTACCTATGAAAGGGTTTTAAAAAGAAGAAACTGGAAAAAAAGTATCTGCAGCAGCATATACCATTGCAGATTCAACATCTGCTTCATTTTTACCACGAAATAGGAACGATTTTAAGAAAGAAAAAAAAAAGAAAAAAAACACACACAAAAAAACCCCACACCAACAAAACACCACAAAAAAAAACAATAACAACAAAAATGGGAGGCCAATCCTTGACCACTCAGCACATGAGGACCAGGAACTAGAGGATATGAAGAATGGAAAAGATGTACATACTCTGAGAAATACTATGCCACTTCTCAGTTCAACCCAAGTGCTCTACGGTCTGGCAGTCAAGTATCCAGAGACTAACATCTCAACATCCACCACCTACACGGACAGTTTCTTCTGTATAGAGCCCAGGTAGACATAGTAATCTCATAGAACAGACACATATTCAGATATCTCCCTTCCCTCCACCTCAGTGGGTAAAACAGGAGAGTTGCTGTGAGTACACAAACACTGACCTACAGATTAGCCAAAGGGGCCTCTCCGTTGTTAAAGTATGTGCACTGTTTATTTCTCAATGGTAGAGTTTCATTTTATGAAAATCAGATCTTATTTTCTTTGGTTAACAACAAGGGCTATAAACTGCTCAGAGCAGCAAGATTTAATCAAATTTATACAATGCACAAGAACAATTCACAACCTGCTGTATATTCTGGCTATAACGTTCTGCATATTCTCAGAGTAATACAAAATATTGCAGAGCATCCCACCGTTTGCCTACGGCTAAAAAGCATTCTTAAGACTATCTCAAATCTAAAGTGCTTCAGTGGGCTCTGCTAATCACCCTTGTCTCATCAAAAGTAACAGGCATTCCTCCTCCTTCACCCTGGGTCTCATGAAGATTTTCTAAAACGTAACGCGTTAAGAAGATTTAGCTTAACGAGATCTCAGTAACATCTCTAATTCCCATTGCTTTCAGTGTAGAGTTAACACTTCCTTCTCTGCTGTCAGATGCCTACCATACAGCTCCAAAAATCCAACACACAACAAAACAGCTTTCTTAAAATCGCAACGCACAGCAATACTATGCCACCTATGCTAAGAAATCAATGAAATATCCTTGTTTACAACTTTTCAGAAAGCTTCATGACCCTAAATACAAGGGTGCTGTGTTTTCTCTGAACATACAAAATCAGATCAATAAGATCAACAGACCACCAATGAAATGTCAATAAAATGTCTTTTCTGGTAGGATACAAGTAGGGCACTGGAAAAGGCAGACACATGCAAATTCATTACAGCAGACCGCTGATTAAAAGAATTCTAGGACTGGTCTGAAGACTGCATTGTTACCCATGCAGGAAAGAACGATGGTGAAGTCATCAGGATGGATCTGTATTTTGTAATCTATTTATTTATTTATTTTTACTTTTTTCTCTCAGAAAAATCAAGCCTTGCAGACTATCCTGACAAGGTAACTGAGTTACTCCATAGTGACAAATTGTTATTTTCCACCTCCTTACATCTCAGTGATGTCTCACTGCCCGAAACACAGAAGACATATGACACAACACCCACAGCCACCATGCTTGTCGGAGAGATACTGCAGAATAGTCTGTGGATTCCAGTACATTAAACAAGATTACCTGAGACAAACTCAATTAATGTGCCATACACACAGACAAGCTGATGCAGATTTTCAGCATGGTCACTTGTAAAAATCTCAAAAATTTCTGCATCATCTGTTTTTTAATTGTGTACAATTTCATGCTGCAGTGACTACAGAATACTCCATTACAATCTAAGTTGGGATTCCAATTTATACAGTTCTTTCTGTTAATCACAGTAAATTGTAATTCTTATACAGCTGTCGCTTTGTAGAAGTACAAGGAACCTCCTAGCTGGTTACTTTGAAAGTCACCTCCCAAGATCCATGTTCTGTAATGGGAGGATCCGGGTTCCAGTCAAGGACACATAGGCTTCACACTGTACAGGGCTGAGCATAAAGATTTCCAACAACGTGAGAGGGAAAAGAAGGAAGGCAGCAAAGGACAGGAAGAGCAACAAAAACGTTGGCCTTTCCGTGTGTAAATAGATTATCTCTTGCTCTTCTGGGTGCTTTAGGGAGCTGAGATTTGTACAGGACTAGCAGATGGGACAGAGGGCAAAGCAGAGACCCAGACCTTCTGAAGAGGCAGCTATATTCCAGAGCCCAGCGTGTTTAAAGCAGCACCAGTTTCCTAAGTAAAGGCAAGTGAATTCTATCCATGGTGCAGTAAAGGGAAAAGAAATGCAGCTGAGGGTACAGGGGCAAATAGCAACAGGGTCATCCTCAATAAAACACAGAGACACTGACCTATGTCAGAGGGGAAAGGATGCTGTTACCAAAAGAGGTTCATCAGTGTCTCAGATTTAAATCATTATTACTGTAATTGTTGTTTTAACTGCTTATGCCAGAAGCCCAGAATATTCTATGGCAAGCGGCAGACTAATTGAGACTTCAAGCTTGATTTCACACTGTGTTATAAGCTTATTTGCAGGACTGCCCCAGAAGTACTGCAATTGGTATTTTAACCTTGAAGATCTCCACATAAGGAAGGCTGCATTCCCCACTATATCCCACACTAAGAGTCTTATGTAACCACAAAAGTATCACAAATACTTTAACCAAAGCAAACTAGCAGTGAGACTCAAAGAGCGTTATTGAATGCTCACACAGTTCAACTTTAAGAAACAAATGCATAAAGAAACATGGCTTCTTCCAAAAGATTTGCTTCTCATGTTTAGTCAGTCTACCAATCCCATTTTTTTCTACTTTTTTCTTCCTGACAGACTGCAGAGGAAACAAAGCTCTGTAAAAGCTTTTTCATTAACGGAACTGTTTTGCAGATATGACATCATCGGTCCTACCTGAAAGCAAAAGAACTAACTGCTTGCTGGAAGACTATACTTCAAAATCACTATACTTTACAGTGATTTAGTCATATCTTTGTTACACTGCTGACTTGCTAGGTTTGGAATAAAAACACAGGACTAGTTTTAAGTATCTTGCCATTACCTTCCATTACAAATGTTTTCCTTACAATCACTAAAATAACCTACATCTTGAAAAGCCCTCAGATCCCCATGGAGCCAAAAAAGTTTATTTATAGCGAATCAAAAGCTTTATTAGACTAATTTGGGTGGGTTCTTTTAGTTCATTATACCCATGAGGAACGAAATAGATTAATGTAACGTTCAGATCAAGGCTTCTTGTCCCAACACACAATACCTCTGGGAAGGCTCATGTTATCTGAAGCACTGACTTGCTTCTGTAAGAGGAGGACTGCCCAGGTCAGTCATGCAACAGTGTGACAACAGTAAATCAGAGCAGGGAGAAGCAGGAATCCCAGGGGCAGATATTCTCGACACATTACCTTCAATTCAAGATCTAACTTCAAAAAACATTCCAGTTAGCTAGGGACTTTCATTGCTTTCAAAGCAAAACTATGGAACTCAATAATTTGAGTTAATTTTTTTTTTTAAAAAAAAAAA